AAGTCGACGGAACCAAACGGAGGTGGTCGAAGGCGTGGGCTCAGGAACCAAAAAGAAAATCAAAAAAAGAAGAGTGTAGCATACGTGTAGTATAGGAATAATCCTACACCGTATCGGTAGTTAACTGTGCGACTATTCGCGGAAGCGTACGGGTAACCGTACTCGGCGACCGGAACGTGAGACGGCAGTCTCGTTCGCGTCGCGTGAGCCTGCAATCTCATCCGAGGTCAGAGGCGGCGTGGTCTGCTGATCTGGACGTGAGACTGTCGTCTCGTCCGTAGACGGTGCAGATGACGCGTGCTGTTGACCGGGACGTGAGAATGAGGTCTCAGATGTATCTAGCGTGTGACCTGAAGGAGATTTAAGGATCCCGCTAGTAGGTTTGCTAGGTCTAGCATTGAATCTCAGGTTACCAGATAGGGCACTGTCATCGACGTGTGCTGGTTTGAGACGATCAATGCTGACGATCTCGACGCGGCCGTGTCGATCAACCTTGAAGGTCTTTTCGTGACGAGCGATCACGCGAAAAGGGCCTTCGTAAGGTTGCTGCAAAGGTTTGCGTACCGAATCTACTCGTATGAAAACATGTGAACAGGTAGATAACTCGCGAGGGAGAGCGACCTGTCGATGTTGTATTCGAGTTGACACCGGAGACAGCGTTCGCATAAATGCAGACAGTCGTTGGACGTAGTCTGATTTAGCGAAATTAGGTCTGCTCCGTGGTGTGAAAAATTCCCCGGGCAGACGCAATGTCGTGCCGTATACAAGTTCAGCGGCGGAACATTGGATATCTGCCTTTAAACTCGTTCTGATACCTAAAAGAACGAGCGGTAAGGTTTCGTACCAGTCGTCGTTTTCGTGTGCTCGAAGAGCACTTTTAAGTTGACGGTGAAACCTTTCAACTAAACCGTTAGAAGCTGGGTGGTAGGCGGTAGTGCGTATGCGTTCCGTACCAAGCAGCCGAGTAAGTGAGGAGAATAGTGCGGACTCAAATTGTTGTCCTCGGTCAGTCGTGACGGTCGAGGGACAACCATATAGAGCTATCCATCGTTCTACGAAGCGGTGAGCAATTGTCTCCGCCGTGATAGACGTGATGGGTATAGCTTCGGGCCATCTGGTGAAGCGGTCGATGCACGTGAGTATGTAATCATACCCGTGCGATGGTGGCAGTGGTCCTACAATGTCTAAGTGAACGTGATCGAAGCGAGCATCAGGCGTAGCGAATGTACCGAGGGGGGCGGCTACGTGCCTGTGCACTTTTGATCGTTGCTTCGCCCACATACGAACATCTTTATTCATGGACGGCCAGACGTATCGTGCAGCGATGAGACGTAATGTAGCCGCGATACCTGGGTGAGATAATCCATGCAGGGCATCGAATACGAGACGGCGATAAGCAGAGGGTACGATGGGTCGAGGAAGATCAGTAGAAATATCGCATAGGATGGTGCCAGAAGTCGTGGCTAGAGGTACTTCCTGATACTGAAGGGACGTAGAGTGTGGTGCTTTTGTACAACTGGGATCGTTTGCTTGGGCAGCGGCCATAGCAGGGAGATCGAGCACCGGCAGAGTAACTGCATTCGTTTGGATTCGTGATAGAGCATCGGCAACACAGTTCGACTTGCCTTGGATGTGACGAAGGTCAGTCGTGAACTGGGAGATATAGTCCAAATGTCTGCACTCTCGTGGTGAGTAGCGGTCAGACTTGGTATGCAAAGCATACGTTAAGGGCTTGTGGTCGGTGAATAAAATGAATTGACGTCCTTCTACTGCGTGCCGAAAATGTTTGATGGTGCAGTAGGCTGCTAGCAGCTCGCGACCAAAAGCGCTATATCTCGTCTCCGTGGTAGTGAGGCGTCGTGAGAAAAACTCGAGAGGTTGCCAACTACCGGAGATGTTTTGTTGCATGACTGCTCCTATAGCAACATCGGATGCATCAACCGCTATACTAAGCGTGGCTGATGGATCGGGATGGGCGAGAAGAGTGGCTTGCGCAAGAGCCATTTTGATTTCAGTGAATGCAGTACGTGCAGAATCGTTCATTTCCAATCTGCGTGGATTGCCGCGTAATAAGTCGGTTAGTGGTCGTAACCGTTCTGCCGCGTGTGGGATGAAACGACGGTAGAAGTTAACCAAACCGAGAAAAGCTTTCAGTTCCTTGAGTGAGGACGGCACGTTGTACTCCTTTATTGCTTGCACTTTGTCCTCACAAGGTAGAATACCCTCTTGCTTGATAACATGACCCAGAAATATTATTTCTCGTTTACCTAACTCGCATTTGTCTGGGTTAACTACTATTCCGTTATCCGAAAGGCGTTGGAATAATAGCGTAAGATGTTGATAATGTTCATCTACGTTTGATGATGCGATTAGCAGGTCATCAATATAGACGTGAACAAAATCGAGGTCTCGTACAATGCTATCGATAAACCTTTGAAAAGTTTGAGCAGCATTCCGTAATCCAAATGGCATTCGTAGGAACTCAAACAAACCGAAAGGAGTCGTGATAGCAGTCTTTTCAATGTCTTCAAGAGCGACTGGGATCTGATGATATGCTCGTACCAGATCGATCTTAGAAAATATAGTCGTGCCCTTGAGCGATGCCGTGATGTCGTGTATGTGGGGGATGGGGTAGCTATCAAAGCGCGTAACTACGTTTAGAGCTCGGTAGTCGCCGCACGGTCTCCAACTAACCCCATCTTTTTTGCGCACCATATGTAGAGGAGAGGCCCATGGACTGTGAGAAGGACGAATAATACCAGTAGCTAGTAAATTGTCAAACTCACGCTTAGCAAAAGCTAATTTGTCCGGTGCCAGTCGGCGAGGTCGTGCCGTGACTGGCGGTCCGCGGGTGACTATGTGGTGTACCACACGATTGGTCACCGATGGAAGCTCCTCGAGTGGTTTAGTGAGTACGGGGAATTTCTCGAATAAAGCGTGGAATTTATCGTCACGCGAGTAAAAAGTGCCGAGGATTCGGTACGCGTTCATGTGGGCTTTACAGCCCATGAATTTGCTGTTCGACGAAGTATCGATTAGCTGCAGCCTACGTGAATCGACAAGCAATTCATAGTGCTGTAGAAAATCGATACCTAGTATGGCTGTGGGAACATCAGCAATGATGAACGTCCACAGATACCGTCGTCGGTTGCCCAGGTTGACCGCGAGTTGTCGTGTACCGTAGGTAGGAATGACTGAGCCATTTGCAGCGCGTAGTCGAAGCACTGTGGCTTGTGACTTGCTGCTACCTCGTGGTACGACAGAAACTTGGGCCCCAGTGTCTACTAGGAACCTAGCGTTCGTGCGGTAATCGTGCACATAGAATAAACGGCCAACCTGGGGTGAAGGGCCGGCGAGTACGGCCGCTTTTACTCGCCGGCGCTGGCGTTTCCCGCCTTGTATGAGCATGGTGCTCGACAACGGCGGGCGCCAGACCCAAAGGACCTATGGAACCAGCACCAACTGTCACTCGCTTCCGTAGCCGCCTTTCGGCGTGGCTTGGAAGATGCCCTTTTTGGGCGAGTGGTGACGCGTTTGCGAGAACTTGAGCGAGCTCGGGGGACGTAGGGTTGGGGTACGTTACAACGGTCTCGAAAACTAAGACGTGAGTGAATACACCCAGCCCTGTCACCATGAGCTGTGGAATGACTGGCGTCCATGTCTACATTAGGACGTGCCGTCGAGGCGACTACATAGGTGTCTCTATTACTAGTCCTCGCTAAAATTTTATCTGCTATAAGGGCTACCTGGTTAAGCGGTGAGTCCTCGAGCAGTGCCGTCACAGTTGGTTGGATATGCGCTGGTAGTGACTCAAGCCACAATTCCTTAACTATTTCTGAGTCACTTGCTGTTGGTCCTGCAAGAGATTGCAGGCGCGTGAGGTGGTGGCTAGGTTTAGCATCACCCAGGGGGTGACGTGCTAACAGGGTCCTCAATCGTTCCTCCCTTGATGGGAGGAAATGTCGGAGAATGGCCTCCTTGAGGCGGTCATAAACATTAGGCACGTTAGAATTGAGGACTACCTCACGAACAGCTACTAAGTGGTCCCCGGGTAATGACTCGAGAGCGTAGGCGTATTTTTGCCTTTGGCTCGTGATGCGACGAGTCTCGAACTGAGACTCTAACGCAGCAAACCAGACCTCAGGGTCGTGGGGGATAAATGATACAGGTCGAAAATGAATGGCCTGTACATCTGAGTCTATAACATTAATAGTATTCTTATCGTTATCCGTCATGTCGTGTATATTATATATTAAAAATTAATATAAAAATATACGACAGACGTGGATAGATAAATAATAGACTCACCAAATTGACTTCTTTGGAAGATTTGACCCGAGGTTGAGGCGTGTTCCAAACTTTGGGATCACCAATGTAGCGTGGCGTCGAGTTGAGATTAACTATGAACACCGCTACCAGGAAACACGTGCCAGATAAATCAGAAGGCGTAGGAGGCTCGTTCCAAATGACTCCATAAAATCCCCGAGAAGCCGAATATCAGAAGACAGTTAATGGACCAAGTCGAGGTTTATTTGCTGGCGATCTCGTGGCATCGAAAGGATACCGAGATCGTGCCAGGATACAAGCTTGGTTACAGAACGTAACCGAATTCGCGCGAAGTTACAATCGAAGTGTAAGCGAAAGAATGGAAGCAGAAAATAGCTGTCATTAGCACAGTCAAACAAAAGCACATTAAAACAAACACTGGTACAGTTGGTTGTAATAATAATTGTTTTTATTAAACCAGTCGTGTTCTCGTGATAAACGTGAGTCACTACATTCTCGTGATAAATGTGAGTCACTACATAATATTATAAAATAGTCAACTTAGCATTTGCAGGTTATGTAGCTGTTGTTAGATAAGTTATTAACGTTCACATTCAAGAGAAAAAGTAAGGACTGAAGGGAAAATTACTTTTTATATTACTTTTTATAAAGCATCAACCAATAGTTCACTTTTTAAAATTACTCATTTCGTTGCAAAAAAGGGGATGGAAGATTTTCCAGAACAGTATGAAAAGTTCTTGATATTAATACATAAAAATCTCAGTGATGTAGGTGTTGATCTTCATGTACAGACATCGGACATTGGACCATATTCTGCGGAATTTACATTTGCGTCAAGGTCGTTTTCGGAAAAAGTAATGAGCAGGTGGTCTATTATTAGAATTTCCAAAAAAGACCAATTATGTACTCAACTTCAAAATGATGCTTTGAGAACGCTTTATATGCTGTTCGCGATACACCTCAACTAAACAGTGCGGAATATTTGTGCTTCCATTACAGATTGTTGCTTTTTCAGTCTTCTTAATACTGGGCATATTTTATTTTGTGTTGTGGTGTGTCAACAGGTTATCACCCTTTGCAGGTTTCAAAACTGTCTACTAATTACAAACTCACATTTACTGTTCCTTTTATTGTGATGTCAATTCTTGGTACTGGTAGCCAATACTTATTGGAAATAAAGTACATGGACTCCATTGAACTGTCTTTTAGTAGAGTTTACATCCTCTACTTATAAAGTAATCTATGATAAGAGATCGTAGCGTTTTATTAGGGGGATGGTTTAGACGCGAATATCTAACATATGTTAATAGATTACTATTGTACCCGAGCTGCCAATTTCGGTGAAAATTTGGCCCATTTTGGGGAAGCCGCTACAGTAAATTTTGGGGAAATGAGACACAAACATCAAAATTTCCCCAAACGTTGGGAGAGTTTCCCCAAAGTTGGCAGCTTGGGTATACACAACAAACTGATGTAATCTATAATGCGAGTAATATTTTCGCGCCGAAATTCGATACGCTTGTCCACATACCCCACTTCTGGCCTAGTTCTCCTGTGGTTGTGTATGAAGGAATTAATTTTCAAGTTTCTTTGAGGGAAACGATCAAGTTTATTAAGTTTACTGTCAACTAACCGTCCTAATACTCTGTGGCGAGACTCTAATTTAGCGACGAGCCAATCAGAAGCGTTTGAGCAATTTCAAGGTCACGGAGCCAAGTTCAAAACGCGATGCTAACATACGGTCGGTCCACAGCGGATTTTAGAGAGGAGGTGATTAATGAGAGGTTAAAACAGATGGAATGGCGAAACTCTAATTTAGGGACGAGCCAATGAGAAGAGTGGATATTCTTCTTTTACATGATTTAAAAACTTGTTGAGGTTTGATAAAGGCTCAGAAGTTCCGAATTCATAATGCATATTGTATAGAAACTCGTCCATAGGGTTTGGGGTTAAAATTAGGGTTAAGAGTTAGGGTTAGATTAGGGTTTAGGGCTAAGGTTAGGGTTTGGGGTTAGATTAGGGTTTAGGGTTAGGTTGGGGTTAGGGTTAGATTAGGGTTTAGGGATAAGGTTAGGGTTTTGTGTTAGATTAGGGTTTAGGGTTAGATTAAGGTTAGGGTATAGGATAGATTAAGGTTTAGGGTTAGGTTTAGATTAGGGGTTAGGTTAGGATTAGGGTGCTAACATGCGTCCGGTTTACATCGGATTTTAGAGAAGAGGTGTCTATTGACAGACTACAACCCTAACCACTAACCCTATGGACGAGTTTCTATACAATATGCATTATGAATTCAGCGTCTCTGAACCTTTATCAAACCTTAACAAGTTTTGAAATCATGTAAAGGAAGAATATCCACTGTAATTCATTACTTACAATATATTCTCACTTTATCCTAACTGTCTTCTGATTGGCTAATAATTGTCAAGGTCATTTAAGATTCCTTCAAAGGTCGTCGCTAAATTAGAGTCTCGCCTACTCTGTAATTTCGACTACATTTAACGATTGTTAAATTACTGCACACCTCAGGCTTCGCAGACCGCAGATACCTGCAACAGTGTATGTATTTCAGGCTCTACGTTTCACTGAATTCAGTCATTTATTCGCACCATTGTGTGTTGTTAAAGTTTACTAAGTTGTTTCGACACATTGTGGATCAATGTGCTTTTTGTACAAATGTTCGGTCAGATCTTGATTTGTATTTGACTTTGTTGAAGTTACTCTCTCACGCTGAGTTGCTTCAGCACATCGCATTTCCATCAGCTACGTTTGTATTTTTCCAAGTGTCATTTAGGGTGTGAATGAGTAAGTACTATCACTTAATGTCAATTCAAGACATTCATGAAGGTTATTTAGTTATAACCATTCAATTTGTTTTTTTTGCAGTTCTTAAATATACTTCCACTTGGAGTGTCAGGTTTTCTACGAAGTAATCACTTCTTTGGCCTTGACTTTATTTGGTATTTATGGTGGTTTAAGAACATCTAAAATGACAGATTGGTTTCATAGGAATCACTTAAAGGCTACTGCTAAGTATACTTTCGACGTTGGTGCAGTTGCTAAAGATCTAAGCTGCAAGGCTCTATGCAGGTATGTCCATTGTTTAATAAGGCAATAATGAATTGCCATAGTTTTCATCACCATTTTGACTGATTAATATCTATTTCGTTTTGCAACCTTCCCATATATTTGTGAAACTTACCATATAGCGGTAGATGATATGCATGGAATACAAGTATTCGGTTATATTCATATTCAATCCATTGACCACTTGCCTTGATATACTATTTTGGTTGGCATAGAATCAAGTTGGGAAAAAGCTTAGGATGGATACATCCAGACAGTATTAGCTTGCTGAGTAATCGACTATCAATTTATCCCTTGAGAAGTAGTGATACATAAATACTGGCTGAGATTCGTAAAATAGTCGTAGTTTATAGTTGAAGACATTGAATGATATGGTGCCAAATTGGTCCATTTACGTAGTTAGATAGATTTCTTCTCTTCCTTTGAATGTCGATTTCTCTCACTCCATACTTTCCATTGTTTGATCTTATTCGCTTCTTTTTCACCATTCACGTCCATTTTTCTAATAGAGTTGATTTATTCTGCCTTTCACCTTTTGTTCTTATGAGATACGTATTTGTGTAGTTTCTATCGTGACCAACTGATGTATTGACGGATGTAAAATCACACTGGGGTTTGATGAGATCTATTATTATCTCTTGTTTTCAAAACTTTCTGAAAGTCTATATCAAATTGTTGGGACAACATTAATCTCTTCGATATAATAGAAGGGGTTAAAAAATAGTTCTTCCTGATGTCAGTCAGGTACAACGTAGGACCAGGCACACGCATCGGTCCAAGTTGCCACACCTCATCAGCACAGCAAGACGAACACCGGTTTCATAGAAGCAGTTAACTCAACGGTGTAATAAGTCAATGGCTTTAAATTCCTTATGCTGCTTACACTCAACACCTAGCTTAACTCGTAGTTGTACTTATACATTTTTGATATAGATATCAGGCTTTCTAAATAGGAACCATATGTTTCTTAGATATCTGTTCATCAAGAGTCCTTGCTATTAGTGTAGTATAAGTTACTTATTAAATTTAATTTAATGATACAGCTTAGTCCTGTCTCATGAGTAGTACGTTTTGCAGTTTTCCTACGACAATTTAATAAAAAAACAAATCCTGTGTTGCACTTATCTTCTTATACTCAGTAATAATCGAAGTATGTAAAGTGCTGAATAGTAACTTTTGAATGACAGAACTTCTTTTCCATAAAATTAACATCAGAATTTACTTTACAAAATTCTGGACAATTCATCCCACCTATATTTTTTCCTTGATATATTTCTATCCCGTTTAAAAGTTTTGATTTTTCGAGACTACATTCTTTCGCTTATTCATTTGATTTTAGTGACGCTGCAAAACGTCGTGTTGAACTTCTCAAGCTAATATCGGATCCATCAGTACCATGTGAAGCAGTCATAACTTCCTTGAATCGATATTTACAGTTATTAATGGGATTCATTGTGGCAACTGATAATAAAACGCCGTTCAGTAAATTAAGAGGTCTCGTTTGTGTGAAATGGTGTGACAGTCTAAAGCCGAAGGGTGAACCAATGTTTGTGAATGTTCTTTTTGCTTATTTTCTAACTTAATTTATTTAGTGTTCGCTCAGATTCTATCTTTGAATTATACTCAGTGCTTTTCAATGTTGCTTTATGGTATACAAAACATGCAGCAAAAGTTGCTTCTAACGAGAAGTAGGTGTTGATTTCCCATGTATCTATATAAAAAATCAGTGTTTCAGAAGATGAAGCCAAGGATGTTCATTTATCACTTAAAACAGCTGCTGGATTGTTTAATTTATTACGGACAAAGTATATGCATGAGTTTACAGAATTTGTTCCGAACAGTGATATGGATCCAAATATTCTGGATGCTTATATAAATCAGTCGTTAGCAGAAGCTCAAGAAAGTTAGTCGTGTTATGCTTTTTATTCTCATACTTTAGTTTTTAGTTATTCTTTTACCGATTTATTGGTTACATATATGGTTAATTCTCACAAGTCGAGTCTACTGCAGCACTGATTACTCTTATATAATCAATAGTTATGGGAATGGCTGTTGTAAATCGATAACAGTACACTCGTATTAGCCAGGAATTTATTTATCAGCGTAGTTAATATCTGCTTCGATATACATCGGTTATATACTCATACCTAACCACTACCTATGTTGATCCTTAATAATGCTCAAAGCATAAGTAAGATGGACAAAATTTAGTAATCAGAGCTACTCTTTACTCCAATCTGATAAATCGCTAATTTGTCCAAAAGATTTCTAAGAGAACAGTAAACAATAACTTGGCTCTTTATTTCAAAGGCAGGAATTTCTGATTAAGATTGTAATCTTAAGATAATCACATAATTGCTGTTTACACGGGACTAGCTGAACGGCGAAGAATACACCGTCTCAATGACCAGTATTTATTCGAGATAACTACAAGTTGGCTAATATCAGTTAAGAAATCATTCTCTTCTAATTAAGTCAGTCACTATTTATATACCGTAAACCAAAAAGGTACTTACAACCCATGTACTTAAGAGTAGTTGAGTCGGTTTATTATTATTATTTTTATTTCAACACATAACTATTGTTACAAGAGGGCACCAAATATATATGCGCCACACCATATTTGTGTGTGTGTGGGCTGTGATACTGCCGGGTGCCCAGACCGAAGTAGGTGGTTGTCTTAGTGGACCACACCCGGAGCCTTTGACCTAAAGGTCCAACCCACTAGGCAGTGGAGCATCGTGAGGAGATGCAGTCCCATGATAGACGGTGACCAACGATTGGTTCATACGCCATTCGTTCTCGCAGGATACTGGAGGCCATGTGCACCATTGATTTGGTTTGGGATCCTGGTAAAGAGACGGACATTCGCTTTTCGTCCTCTCATTTTTGTAAACAACACCCCTGGTGAGAGAAGGCAGTGAGTAGGACTTCCCTGACAGAGGCTGCATACGCGTGGCCGTGTGGGAGTATTTCGAGGGGGAGAGCGAACCCACCCCACTCTCGGCCATACCAGGGCATTTGGGGGTCGGTTTAGCCAAAGTTAAACAGACCGTGACCTCAGTTATTTTAGTAATTTACTCGAAACAACTCACACTTGTATTTGATTCACAAAGTAACTTTGATACATTCTGTATTCCGTAAGATTCTGCTCGACTTTCCGTCCAGTGATACTTCATACCCACAGATAAAATGAGGTATCAAAGAGAGAGAGATGTTCTTGAATATTAAACACCACAGGTTTTCGGTGCCAGTGTTACAATTCAAAAAATAAGGAGCTAATACTACTATGTTTCCTTACTAAGCAGTCGTGGGTGAATATTCTTAAGTGGTTGTTCTTTGGATCCAACCAAAACAAATCCTGTTACTTATAAAGAAGTATGTTTCTGTGGTACAGGCAGTCGAGAAATATAAACCATCACAAACTTGAAAAATTAAAAGTGTAACAAGTTAAACCGACACGCGTCTGCTTCACGTTCTTTGTTGTCTCTGACGGATTGTGTATGAAGTGAAAAAGTTTGGTAAATACCTACGTTATAAGTACGTCTTTGTGTTTTCTTTCCAAATATCTGTTTCCCAATGTCTTATTTTAAAGTTTTAACTTATTAACTCTCCAGCTTTACAATATACCTTTTTTGATATTCCAGTTACTGTTGCCAGAGCAATTGAATTAAAACATAAACCATATTTAATCGCTGGTTTAGCTAATGAAACTGCTAAGTTTTACGAAAAATGTGGTAAGCTCCCAGTTATTTTTAAGATCAAGTTTTTAATGAACACCTCATATTTAGTGAGTTTTCGGAAAACTAACTTTATTTGACCGATAAAAATATATTAATGTTTGTTATTTGCTTTAGAAACCCTAAGTAAAAAAAGCATATTGTGCTACTGTTTATGGTAGGCTTTTAAAATTCGATAAATTTTAGCCATCATTAGCAGTGAATATATATTTTATATGATAAATGAACTGCAGTTGGATATTCTCACTCATTAGATTATAATCAGTGTAACATCCTATCTCGAGATATCATGTCTTAGGTTTTGTGACCGGGAATCTCATTTCAGGTCAGGTCAGGTCAGTCAGTCAGTCAGTCAGTCAGTCAGCCAGTCAGTCAGTAACAACGTAGAACTTCGTACGTACGTACATCAGTTCGAGTTGCCACACCACATTAGCACAGAGATGCAGTTGTCGATTCAAATCCCGTAGTGGTAGAGGTAATAAGAGTATAAGCAGTAATCGGGAAGATTAGGGTTTGAAGATGTTATTTAAAGAGTATAATCCAGTGAAATAAATTTGGAAAGAGCAAAAGAGGGACATGAAGAATTCAGAAGATTAGAATTTGGGAGAACACAAAGAGTGGATGCACCTGCGCCATTGCAAACGATTTTGAGCCATGTCATTCAGGGTCTCTAACCATCGGTTGCTATCATCTCGCGGTCCCCAACCAGGTAGTCTGCACCTACCAACATGACTCAGTCCACTTGTCAGTGACTTCATGGACTTGTGCCATGTTTTGGTTTGGCCGCCCCTAGCTTTCTTCCAACCTACTCCTATACCACTGAGCATAGCACGTCGAGGCAGTCGGTCGTTGGGCATACGTAACACGTGTCCCAGCCATCTCAACTGATGAAGTTTCACTACTTCATCAATTGATTTGCCATCCTCACCTAGTACCCGATCCCTAACAACTGTGTTACTTACTCGATGGTCCCATGATATACGAGCAATGTTTCGAAGACACCTATGATCAAATACTAGTGACCTGCGAATATCCTCTACTCTTACCGGCCATGTTTCACTGCCATAAGGAAGGACGGGACGAACTGCTGCGCAGTAAACACGTCCTTTGGTTGATAGACGGATATCTCGCCTACGCCATAAATGACGCAAGTTGGCAAAAGCTAGTCGAGCCTTCTGTATCCGTGCTGAGATTTCGTCACAAACCAGACCACGAGGGCTGATGAGACTTCCAAGATAAGTGAAGCGGTCGACACACTCAACTACTTCACTCCCTATCATTAGAGTCCATTTTGCTGCCAATCTTTGTGATTTTTTTCTTTTTCTTCAGGTTTGGCTTTAACACAATGTAATCCTAAAGTTGTTGGGAAATGGAAAAAATATTCAGAATTTAAACAGTTCTGTTATGAATCATATGTAAGTGTGTAGACTTTATACAACTAATGAATAGCTTTTGTCTCAATTAAATAAGATGTTTATCAGTTTTAGATAATTATTTATTGGGGTTTTTCACAAATTTAACGTGTCTACTCATTTATTGATCTTTATAATATTGAATAAAGCCATTAATAATAATAATAATCGTAGCTATCCGTTGTATACCTCTTAAATCATCAGGGATATAGGCATCTTAATATTGTCTATAATATCATTATTCATCCACTTAAACACACAGAATCGCGATGTATATATGTTTTCTTTCCGAATTCATCTGTTATGTACTACTTGGATTTCGAGCAGATGATATAGTCCTGTTTGATAAAGATACTGATAAAATTCAGTCTCTTGGTAGCACTCAACAACAATGCCAGGATGTTTGTAATGCGTTTCTCCCCCCTCTAAATGCAAAGTGTTGCTTCAGGACTGTCCTGCGTCAACATCTGAATTAAGGATGGCGAGTGAAGCAGTTAAACGAGTTGACAACTTCACTTATGTAATAATAATAGTGGTAATAATGGGGGGAAAGAAAGGTACAATCAGAAGAAACCCTTCAGTTAAGGAAGATAAAACCATTTTTTTATGAAAAAAGTAAAAGAAGGTTACAGCAGGATCGCCACTGGCTTCTATTCTGAGCCATATCTGATAACGTCTCTAGCCACTGTGTAGCACCATCTCTCAGACCTCAACCAGGGAGTCGTGAAGGACCAACAGAAGCCAGTCCTTTGCAGCTTTCTTTCATCTCACGACACCATGTCATGCACTGACCACCTGTCCGCTTCTTCCAACCAGTCCCAGAGTCGGCAAATAATGCACGACGTGGAATTCTCTGGGACGACATTCGGAGAACATGTCCAAGCCACCGAAGTCGGTGTTTCAAGATGGTGACACCGATTACGCCCGAACACACGATGCCGAACCTCTGCATTGCTAATATGGTATTGCCACTGGATGTCAGTCCTTCGGAGACAACGATGATCGAACACAGAGAGTCGTCTAACGTCCTCAACTCGGAGAGGCCAGGTTTCACAAGCATAGAGCAAAATTGCTCTCACCGACGCGTTGTAGATCGGATTTTTTACAGCCAGACTAACATCACGAAGGCGCCAAAGATGGCCCAGATTGGCATAAGCCGCTCTGGCTTTCACTATACATGCATTGATCTCATCACTCACACCCCACCAGCACTTATGCAGCTACCCAGATACACGAACTTCTCGAATACTTCTATCTGCTCACCATTCAGGGTGAGTACAGGATTAGAATCCTGCTAGTCTTGTAGAAGTACTTTGCACTTCGAAGGTGCAAAGCACATACCATACCTACGGACACTGATTGCCAACTGATTAAGTGCGGATTGCATGCCTTGGGCATTATCGCACAGTAAGACAATATCGTCCGCATACTCAAGGTCGAGAAGCTTTTCTCCAGGCAACAGATCCACACCATCATTACTTACATCCATCAGAGCTGTTTCCAGAATGTCATCGATGGCAAAGTTGAAGAGGAATGGTGAGATTGGGAAACCCTGCTTAACCCCACTGCTCGAATGGAACAACGTCGTCAATTCCTTAGTCAGAAAGTCACCACCATCTTAAAAAAGAGCCGGAGGTAAGTCATCTGGGCCAGGTGATTTGTAGCGCTTCAAGAGTTGGAGTTCCTTGCGGACTTCCGCCTCGTTTGGTGGATCAGTCGTCACTGGCCATGGAGGGCAGGACAGTCTGACCGATGTTGCCGGAGCAGCGGGCCAGTTGAACTGTCCTTCGAAAAATTCTGCCCATCTTCCAAGACGTCGATGGATGTTAGTCATTGGCATCCCATCATCCTCGTAGATTGTTTCGCTCACATCAGACTTCTTGCTGCTAGTGGCTCGGATGAGTTGGAAGAGCTTCCGGTAATTACGAGATGCAGCTGCTGCTTCCAGCTCATTAGCACGCTTCGACCACCAGGCTTCTCGGTCCTTACGCAAGCTTTGCCCAATTTCCTTACATAACATCCTTCGTTTATGGTCAAACTCACGGTCACCCGGAGTAGACCGACGGGCTTCAATGAGTCGTAAGGAACCTACAGAAACCCAGTACTTATAAGCGGGACGTTTCGCGAACCCACAACTGACTGTACCCGCCATTTTCATGGCGTCATGCAATTGCAACCAATGCTCATCTATACTTTTCAGTGGAGTGGTAGCTAGCCTAGAGGCTAGCTCGGTTCGATACTTACTTGCAACAGAAGTTGCAACCAGCTTGCTAATATCAATCTGTTGATGGCGGTCTTTTCGTTGTCCACTGAAAAGTAAGGCAAGATTGGCGCAGACCAAGGCATGGTCAGAGTCCAGATAGGTACTCCAAAAGGAGCGGCAGTCTTGTACACAACCACGCCAGCGGTAGCTGATCGCGATGTGATCAATCTGAGTCCAGGCTTGAGATGCAGAGGGAGGACGCCAGGTGGCACATCGGCGATGACTGTACCGAAAGTCAGTGCTATCCAGAAACAGGTTGTGGTCTGTGCAAAGTTGCAGTAGACGGTCCCCGTTATCTGACCTGCAACCAACGAGTCCCCATCGGCCACCTAAACGACTCTCTTCTGTGCCTAGACGCCCGACCTGAGCATTCAAGTCTCCGGCTAGTACCACAATATCTGTCGAACGCACTTTCTGGAGAAGAACAGATAACTGGTGGTAAAACTCATCCTTGATTGCATCCGGGCTGCAATCTGTCGGGGCATAGGCGGAGACGACGAAAAGACATTGTTTCTCACGCCGATTTCTTCTCACTTTGATGGAACTTTCTAATCTAACAGCACATAACCGACTGTTAATGGGGATCCAATCGATTAGTGTTGCCTCAGCTCTAGCGCTTAGTGCGACACCAACGCCAGTAACACTAGACGAAGATGCCACAGGATCCCTGGATAAGCGCACGTAAAACAAGCTTTTTGAAGCGATAGATAGAGAGCGAATTTGTAGTACTTCACCAGAGTTTTGAATACGGGTCTCGGATAGACAGCAGACATCGATATTAAGACTTTCCAAAGACATAGCCAGCCCTATCTGTTGTCCGACCTGCATAAGTGTGCGAACGTTGAAGGCAGCCAGTTTGAATGGTGCACGTGGTTTCAGAAAAACTGCTTCAGTACTCATATTCTGTGGTAACATACAATTTTCAACCATTCAGTGACTCGAGAACGTTTAGATAGAGTCGAATTTCCACCACAGACGAGCTGCTGTATAAGTCGAAAAAATAAGTATAGACAGAGTGGGAATAAAAGAGGGTGAATAATGATGTAGTAAATAATAATAATAATAATAATAATAATAATAATAATGTTGGGTCGGCTTCCGGAGAACTTCAACGGAGCCTCCAGAGGCCCAAAAGGAGCCGAAGAGTCCTAGCCAATCAGAGTGTGATGGAACGTTCTAGAATTCCAACGTGGCGTGCTACTATTGGTCGGTAGCATAATGTGTTGTTATCGGATTGGCTGTAAAATGATGTTGATTTAACAGACGCCAAAATCTATAAATACCCATGATTTTCTGTACAAAAATGAACCTTGGAATAAAGTGTTTTCTCACATTCTAGTGTCTTCTCTCTGGAGTTCAAGTCGCTGTGTAGTTCTAGACTGCGGGTTATCGGAATAGCTTAGGAATCGTATATAGCGTTCAACCTACACGACTTATCAAATAATAATAACAATAATAATAATTTGAATCATTCGATTGTTAGTTGAAGCAAGAAAAGTAGTTTCCATAATTGTAGGGAGTTCATCATTTGTGTGGGCTGTGATACTGCCCGGGTGCCCAGACCGAAGTAGGTGGTTGTCTTAGTGGACCACACCCGGAGCCTTTGACCTAAAGGTCCAACCCACTAGGCAGTGGAGCATCGTGAGGAGATGCAGTCCCATGATAGACGGTGACCAACGATTGGTTCATACGTCATTCGTTCTCGCAGGATACTGGAGGCCATGTGCACCATTGATTTGGTTTGGGATCTGGATAAAGAGACGGACATTCGCTTTTCGTCCTCTCATTTTTGTAAACAACACCCCTGGTGAGAGAAGGCAGTGAGTAGGACTTCCCTGACAGAGGCTGTATACGCGTGGCCGTGTGGGAGTATTTCGAGGGGGAGGGCGAACCCACCCCGCTCTCGTCCATACCAGGCCATTTGGAGGCGTACAGGCGTGGGTTCGAATCCCACCTCCACCACCAGGTGGAGTGGTCTAAGATCAAACTAAAACGGCATCAGTCATTGAAGTCATTAACTTCTGGTCTGAGCCATGTTGGCAGATGTAGACTACTTGGTTGGGGTTCGCGTGACTATCGTAATCAGTGGTTGGAGATTCTGGGTGACATGGCCCAGAATCGATTACAATGGTGTAGATGCATACACTCTTTGTCTTCTCTTAAACCGTGAGATTAAAATTACTTTATACCTTTCTGTGAACTGATTCTTTCTTCATGCATTATATCCTTATATACAATGCTTCTTTTATATATTACTACAATTGAAGTAAACACTTCTGTGAGTTTGATGATCATCTTGTTGTGCTGATGAGGTGTGGCAACTTGGACGGATGCATATATGTGCATGGACCTACGTTATAGCTGATTGACTTTAATTTCGGATCTTGAGTGATTTCCATGTAGAATTTTATGTATATATCACAAATAACTTTTGTAATTATTTGTTCTATGGGTGCTTTAATGAGTTAATGTTGTTTTTTCGTGTTTGACGGTCACATTTTTTGGTGTTCAACTCAGATTATGAAGCACGATAATGACACTTGATCAATTGAACTAATTGAAAGAATACATTATCTATAATAGTGTATTCGGTGAATAAAGTACCTATAGTTAATATGAGTATTTAAGAAGTAAAAATAAGATTAACTATGTTCATTTGGGTAGCAAATTTGCCTATGTGAACGATCACATTACTCGTTATGACTTATATCTGAATCGCCATAATTCTGAGACAGTAGCATTTGTCTTATCCTGCTGAATTTATTCGATATTTCATAAAGGCATCATTCTAGTATGATGACGTTACCGTTTAATCATAAAGTGTTGAACACTTAATCGTTAAGTACTGTAATTGGGAAGCAAGTTTATATTATTTGGTTCAATTTGGCAAAGTAGTAACTTTTCTATATGATGAAAAGATTTGTAACCCTATATACTAATGTATACTAAAGAAATAAGTATCTGTTCATCTTAGTGAAATTGCCATTCAATTAGTACTCGTCTTATTTTTTACTGATCATTTTTGTCATTCTTGTAAGTTATCAGCATTGTCCACCCTATTTTATAATTATCAAACATTTGAGTTGTGTAATGGGCTCTAATTTTCGTATTACACTTCATTGAAAATAGATTAAATTTTCTTAGCCTTTGGCAAAACGTTTTTTAAAACACGAACGTTGACTCACAGTTATTCATTCAGAATGCTTCAAAAATATGCAACGATAATGTCGTTAAAAAATCAAAATCAAACATTGAAAATCCTTTTTATCGTCCAAAGAAGGTTTTTACATTTGAAGGAATAAGTTTTGTAGTATAAATTTGAGCTGAACGCGCTTACAACTCATTGTAAAGTTGAACGCTTCTTTTAGGCTGAAACATTCTTAGGTTTATTTTCTTTGAAATATGGTAAGAATAATCGTAGTCGCTTATAATCTAAATTATTTGTATTTGTCCTAATCTTTTTTTTAATTAATAATTTACACCTTTTAAACTACTGATGTTTTACACCTTTCTGTAAATTAGCTCATAATCCTTACGTTTGATTTTCTTATCCTGTGTAAAATGTAAGTTCTTTTAGTGTCCTTCATGAAGTTCTTGCTTTTGAAAGGTAATGAAAAGCTAACAATAACTTGAATTTATATTACGACAATATACTTTTTGCATATCTTTCAAAAAATATTAGTTATTCAGAAACAACTTATAACTTGGCACCTATTAAAATGTTATTTTCGATTATTTCAATTAAAGTTGTTTGGTTTACAGATTAAGTGTTTATAGAAAATTGTTATTATGTCTAGATAACGGTAAGTCAGTCAGTCAGTCAGTCAGTCAGTAACAACGTAGAACTTCGTACGTGCGTACATCAGTTCAAGTTGCCACACCACATTAGCACAGAGATGCAGTTGTCGATTCAAGTCCCGTAGTGCTAGATGTAGTAAAATTATAAGCTGAAATCAGAAAAATTAGGGTTGGAAGATAACGGTAAGCAACATTTTAATTCTACATTATCGATAGCTAGCCTGTCGTTAATCAGTCTTTCCCTAAAACAAATTTCTGAATAATTATTATTTTGAAAGGATTGTTAACCTTTTTCTTTACATCATCTGTTTATTAATCATTGGTGTTGTCATAGGTAATACGGTCCATCACTATCATTGTTTACTTTTAGATGGTATATTGTGATAAAAGTGGATTCAACCTAAATGTTTACATTTTATATTGTACACCTAAATGTTTATACAGATATTTTGATGTGTATTAATTTAGTTTAAACTTATTTTTCGATAATTAACTGCATCAAACCTCTAACACCAAGTTCGTTGTACTAGCCATGGTTATCATGTGTTATTAACCTTCATTAGAATGACAGTTTTTCTCTGTATTTGTTGTAACATTCATCTCATTGCTCAATTAATTATTTGCTGTCTGATAAATAACTCAACTATAACTTTTTCGGTTGAACATAGGTAATTTGTAGAGAACAGTTTTGATTTAAAGTTAAGCTGTTTACTGATAGTCATTCAATAGGAATTTAGACCTAGTTTTCGTTAGCAAATTATCAGTTTGACTAGATTATTCACACCGGTATTTTCACATGGTCCATTATGTCATCGTAATACTATTGTTACTTATCGGATGAATTTATGACACCTCGATCCCTTCACATGTTGCAGTAGTAAATTGGTTTGCAACTCGATACATTATTTGGTCATTTAGAAGCAAACTGATGATATTTATAAACATCAAAGCCTTAGACCGTATGATAAACTAGGTAAACTCTGTAGTGTGTAAAAAATCATTACCAGTAAGAAAATAGGTAAATATACGTAATCGAAGCAATTATTCTCTTGCCTTCATTATCCCCATTCGGTAAAGACAAACTTAGGAGATCCTTCACTGTTCGGTCCTCTCCTTTTACTTTGTACTGTGACGTCACTGTAATTACACCTTATATATGCTATTAAGTATAATATTTTTTGTAGGTTAGCAGTTCTATAATGAGTAAGAGATAAATCAAAGTAGGGTTCATGGAAAATAGCATTATTGTATGACGAAATTAATCTGTATCAAAGAGATCCTGCTAAGGAGCAACATAACTTCTTTAGTATTATCCGCGGGATTTGTAAAATTTAGAACATATGTGAATATTTTTTGTTTCTACTCGTTTTGAGGTTACTTTTTTTGGGGGGTGTTATATCCGGTGAAGATTAAATTACAGGTAACTTCCAAGGACTATTCATGGACTAATATTCTATAAAAATTCTTATTGTATAACTACTCAACAATTACACTATGTATATTTATATTCCTTTTATGATAAGCTTTATTTTGACCTATAATTTATTATTGTACGATTTACTGTTCTTAAACTAGGTTCAGTTTATTAACTACTGCCTCCCATATTCACAGCCACTTTTTTGGCTTATTTGTGTACAAATAGTATTTCCTATTTTATGGTACGTTGTGGTCTGTGTGATTGATATATAAACCAAGTATGCCTGAAATAAACGATTCGATTCATATTACGGAAGATGGTATCTTGTTCTGGACTCAAGTGGAGGGGTTAGGAGAACATAGGACCAATAAGGACGCTAGACTGCTCATGCCAGTTGAACGTCATTGGTTTGGCATAGTGCGAAGATTGTGTAAGCCGGATCCTGATTGGTTGATAGGTCGCGTGATAGAAAAGTCAGACATCCAAGGTCATAACAGGGGGGAAAGTAATCCATCCTAAGTCTTGATATCTACTTTGAATATTATTTGTAGAAAAATAGTCAATAGAACTGTGATAATCATTCCATTGTTTATTAACCATAACTTTTATCAAAGATGATATATATTTTGTACATAAAATTTCCTGGTTATTTCATACATCATCTAACTTAATTCATCACTATAAATGCAGTGTCATTGGTATTTCAATTTAATTCTCATCTGTCAAAAATTTACTTCTCTTAAAGGCGTATGTTTACTATGGTGAGGACTTACTGGAAAAGGGAAAGGCAGGTCAAGCTGTGGCAATTCTTAAAGAGGCATCTGCTCGTAAGTTTTTTTGTGATTATCTGATTTTAGTACATTTATCAAGTAAAGCTGATTAAATTTTTCGTATGCTTACTACCGGCAACCTCGACAGGTGATTTCAGCTGGTGTAGGTGTAATTTAAATATAAAGCTAGGGATGTCCAAATAAAAACGTGATATCAATTTAAGGAGTTATTTACTGTCGGTCTGCATCATGATGATGCATATAGACTACTTGATTAAGGTTTGCACGATAATTGTTATAGGGTGTTGGGGAATGAGGGTGACGGCTTACAATCGTCTACAGCGCAGTCGATGAATTCACTCTTTATCTTCTCATGGATCTTGAGTTCTCGTATATCCTCATACATATATTTCTATTCCTTTCAGAACAATATTGTCAATTCACTTGATATTGTTTTATTAAACAGGACGAAACGCGCGTCCTGGATTCCACTGCTAGCCACTATCCATCTTTGCTTATAAATATTGTCAATGTTTAGACTTCCTGAATATCACTGATAATACAGCTATGTTGACTGCTTTTATTATTATTATTATTATTATTATTATTATTATTATTATTATTATTATTATTATTATTATTATTATTATTATTATTATTACGTTGGTTTCGTCTCGTCGTGCTGATATCGTATAATATCTTAAACCAATAAGCACTTCCCAAGCTCTAAGATGACTGACTAATCAACTGGGAATCTAGTTCAATTACATCAAAGTGCTGGGTGATTCAGTATTTTACTGTAGAATTAATATTATATCCAACACTCCCATACTTGCTAGTGTGTTTGAGAAATTTCTAGCTTTTGGCAAATCATCTTTAACGTTTGCGCAACGTCTCTGTCGGCTAAAGTAAAGTTTCTTCTGTTGTATATATATATATATTTTTAAAGCATATGAGAAGGCGATTCGTGCTGCGCGTGAATACACAAAAGTTGAAGGTGTCAGTTTGTCAACTAAACCACCTGATCATTGTTTTTTCCGTCGTCTACCTGGACTAATTGAACGTACACATAATAAATGTGAACGTGAAAATGGATTAATGTAGGTTATTGCGTGTTTCCAAGTTATTAACCTTAACCAGTATTTTTTCATGAATGATATCATTTTTAACCATTTAGTTGCAAGGTTCGATTCATTTAGTATGCGTCTAGCTGTAGAATCCAGAACAGATGTTTCGTCTCATTTTTTGGCTCGTTAGTTGGATTTTCGAGTTGATGTCTACCACCTGATTTGGACCCAGTAACTTTCGCTCCATCACGTTATCCACTTAGTTAATTAATATAAGTAGCCATGAGTATGTGTTTTAATTTAATTCGTAGTGGATTTGGATTATTCCGTTGATCAAGACTGATGAAATTCCAGTCAAAATATCAACGACAGTTTAACCCTAAATCATTTGAAATTAAATAGTACCTTTCGCTTTATACATCTTCAAGGTTATCCACCGATCTACTTTAGTAAAGGAGAGTTTCGTCATTTAAATAGAGAATTTTCGATTGTTGAAATCAATAAGTGGAATGTTGGTTGATGAATGATATGTAGTGATACGAAATGTGGCCGAGTAATAACTGATCATAAAACCATATTGCTAACCTAAACCTCTGAATTCCTTTAGTTTAATTAAGACTTAATTTTTAGGATACTTTTGGGCATCATTGTATCAGCTACTTAGGAAAAGGTACTGAGTTCGAATCTTAATATGAACATCATCACAAATTTAGGTACATTCAACTGAAAAGTGCCAAATAGGATGTAACTTGGATTATGGACCCCATTGATAGCTACTCAAAAAATATACTAAAATTTATGACATAACGCCATATCGAAGCCATCAGCTCAGGATGCTTGTATCGCAGCTGAGAGATTGATCATTTGCAGTCTTCTTTAATTTTACAACACTATGACATCGCTTAATTTCTGCTTATTTTTATAACCTATTTTCTCAAATGAAATTAAGTATGATATTAGCAATATTGATTAAATGGATATAATCATACTTTCTTAATGATAAGTCAGTCAATATCATAATCGTTTTATCACAAGATATATCAATATTGAATATTCTAGAAATGTAAGTTGCAATAGGTTTGTTTCCAAGTATAAATTGTCTAAAAGGTCATGACGATACATAGTTTTATCAAATTTATAGTAGCTTATAAGTTGATCAATTTTACTGAATTATATATACTTTCGATGAGTGAAATACATCGTGAACAGGTGATTCATTGTATCCTTATTTCAGAACAGAATTTATTTCTTTTGGTGTTGTGAACTTTAATTATTTAGAATTTTGTCAAAAATTCTTTTGGTCTCTCATTACTTAGAACTATTTATACGGAATGAGGTTACAAAATTTTTAATCTGAGTTTTCAATTCAGCAATTTACTTAGTAACCATGTATGGATCCGTTATGTTTAGTGCAGCCAGACACATTGATATTCAATCTTTGGTTAATCACGGTTTTCTTTGACCCGACGTATTAGTTTGAATTGGTAGACCTAGGTGAAAATTGTTCGGTTTCTGGTTTATGGTTGAGTTGGGCGCATAGTAATTTATAATTATGAACGATCAGGATTCCTCTGATACGAATGGAATCTATTGCAAACTCGATAATACAACAACTAACACACATCACTTCAGCAATAATTTCTAATATGCAACCCAGGAATAATCAATGAATGCAAACAGAGCTTGATATTCTAAAAAGTTGAGAAGTCAATATTGAAATAGAACAATCTATTTTATATATTGAGATAAGAAAATTTACGAACTGCAAGACAAAATAACCATATGGATGATAGAACAGCAAATATGAACTAGAAAAAAGCTAAGAAAACTGGAAAATTTGAAGTTTTTCCTATTTTAAAAAAACCCTTATCATTTCACTTTAATTATTTTAGTCTTCGCTGTACATTTGGGGAATTTTTCAAAAAAGGTGGAACGGTTAAAAGTTATCGTTTGTTAGTATTCGTAACTCTGTGTTGCCTTTTACTACACTTTTCTTACCTTTAAGCTGAATTACATTTTCAACCAATTCAGTTTCCTAAGTATTTGGATACTACTTATAATTAATCTCTATATAAATCTGAGAGTCGTTTGAAATCACTAGACTTTGTCCGACACTTACTTTCTCTAATTTTCATTTTACCGGTCTGGCTTCGTCGGACAATGTTGGAGTGTGAAACGTTTCATACGTCCTGATATTTCACTATCGGTTTCGATTGAGGTATACTGAAAATATCTGTTACTTAATCTCTTTGTGAAGATGATTATTAACTAATAACCTGCTAAATCATATAATGGTGGAAATAGGAATGATTCAGAAAGTAATGTTTTTTCCAAATATTTTTCATAAAAGTAGTATTTATGTCAAATTCTATAGCTGCATTTTAGAAAGCCTCATTTTTAATGTGCTTCCGAATAGTTACCAACTTTATCGCGAACAATTTTTCGCTTTCAAAAATCCTCCTGATTATTTTAAGAATGGATTTATATTTTGTATTGTAACATGTAGTTTGACTAGATTATGTTACCGTAGGCACTTATCTGATCGCTGATCAAGGACTAGATATCAATAACCATATGTATATTGGCACAGATACAGAATGTTAAGAAGCCATCCACAATATCAAGTTAGTTCACCATACATACTATGCTTGGAGTTGTTTTTTTTTTACTCACTAGCCAATCACCAACTACATTATTTGGACACACTGTCGCTTAACAGTGAGTATTAATTTGCTGTGCTTGCGTTACCGTTTTAATTTTTCCTTTACAGTGACAATTCACATGTTAACTCATTTGCTCCTCGATAATCTTTTTAATAAATTTAGATATCATCAGAAAGTTCCAAGTGTCGCTCCATTTTTGGAAATAAAAGCGGAATATGGCATCACAGCGCCCAAAGAACCTGAGCTCAATTTTGAGTTAGATCCCAGATGGAAAGACGCTTACGTTGGGTTTGATACTAGCAAAGTAGTGGAGAATATTTTATCAAACTCCGTAAGTTAACTTTCTGATACCATTATAAGCTTCTTAGTAGTTACTATCGCAACACCACAGTACTCATTTGTATTACTTCGTTTTTGACAAACAGGCTAAAAGCCGCGGCTTACCCGTCTTTTCTCTGAACTGTGGGTCACCTGAGATATCTTGTACTTAAATGCTTGACATTAACATCATAATCGCTTCTCAGTTCCATAGGGATCTCTCATACTTTGTCTCCAAGAGAATACTAACAGTGTGAGGTATGAAAAGAAGCTATACTTTCATTGTTAGTTTAGGTGCAGGAAGCATGAATATTTATAGGTTTGTGTTGTGATCTCCATATCGTAGTAGCTCCTGAAGAAATACCATTATAACAGAATCGATTATTGTCAAGTCAAGGCATGACAAGTAATTTTGTAGTTTTCCAAAAACTAGAAAGTTTCTATTGAACGCTGACTGAACTAAGTATGTTTAGTCTTTTTTCAGATTCGGAAAACTTTTCCAAGTAAATTTCTGGGGCTTTCAACACCACTGCTTAGAACTAAATCTACATACATCGGCTTGAATAGTCAGTGTTACTCAACACATATGTATAGAGTCACTGGATAGTGTACAAATATGTGTGTTCTTCCAAGCCCTATATTATTTTTTTAAACATTTTAAAGGATCTTTTTACCTACTTTTCACAGTTTTATGTAAAAAAGCTATTGTTTTATGTGTAGTTTTTAAAGAATAGGTATCGTTTGGTGGATTGTCAGAGAGATATAATAATTTTATGATGTCTTTCATCTTTCTGGTTTATATGACAATTTAAAACCACAAATAGTTAAATTACATCAAGTATCCATTCCTTGACAAATATTCCACTCTTTATTGAAGAAAGTTTTCATAAATTTATTGACAAATTTTTGTTATTGACAATACAGATGAGTTCAATCATTTAAAAGTCGTAGCACAATTCGAAACTTTAAAATAACTTTAGATCTTTTAAATTGGACTTTCAGTTTTCATTCCGTAAATAACATTCGTTTTACTGTATTCTCCACATAATTAGTAGCACAACAAATAGAACTCTGATCAATTATGAAAAAAAATTGAACGAGTGTTTATATGTGTGAACATAAAATTTGATACTTTTTAAAAGTTATACTTTAACGAGAAATGTTTAAACAGATTATTTTACTTTATACGAATATTCGTCAAGATTAGAACGAATAGTTTGACAGTAATTGAGCGCCGAGTATAGAGAAGTCATTATATGTGAAAATTATATTTGAAATATTCTCAGCTGAGAATATTTCAAATATAGATTATTTTACTGTTTTCGACTACTATCATATATATGACAGATGTGTAAACTTCGGTTTCTAATTTATGCAAGTTAATTGGAAGTCTGATCAGCCCTACTGGGCTGGTATCGGACGAAATCTCAGCACGGATTCGAAAAGCCCGCTTGGCTTTTGCCAACTTACGTCACCTTTGACGAAGGCGAGATATCCGTCTATCAATAAAAGGACGAGTATACTGCGCGACAGTCCGTTCTGTTTTACTTTACGACAGCGAAACATGGCCTTTAAGAGTAGAAGACACTCGTAAGCTACTAGTATTTGACCACAGATGCCTTAGAAATATTGCTGGCGTCTGTTGGGATCACCAAGTAAGTAATAGTCAGGTTGGACACAGTATTAGGGAATGATGGTAAATCAGTTGACGAGGTTGTGAATCTTCATCGACTGAGATGGTTGGGCCACGTGTTACGTATGCCTGAACACCGATTACCACGTCGTGCAATGCTAACGGGTGTTAGAGATGGTTGGAAGAGAATTAGGGGCGACCAAACCAAAACGTGGCATCAGTGCTTGAAGTCACTAACTTCTAGTCTGAGCCATGTTGGTAGATGCAGACTACTCGGTTGGGGTCCGCATGACTATCGTAATCATTTGTTAGAGACTTTTGGTGATGTGGCTCAGAATCGATCACAATGGCGTCGCTGTATACACCCTTTGTCTTCCCTTAAACTAAGAGATTAAAATTGCTTCATATCTTTCTTTCTTCCTGTACTATATCCTTATTGCAATCTTTCTTTTATATATTACCACAACTGAATTAACTACTTTTATGAATCCGGTGTCCATCTTGCTGTGCTAATGAGGTATGGCAACCTGGACCGATGCATAAATGTGCCTGGTCCTACGTTGTAGCTGACTGACTGACTGACGCATACAAGTTAATAGCAAACAGTACAGTCTATGTTTTTATTTATATTTTTTGAACCCATTTCAATAGTTGATTGTTGTACTTATCTTGTAATACTAGATGTAAACTACTGGGAATTGCTAGATTTTTGATTATCTTTGGACGGCAAATTCTAACTTGATCAATCATGTTTGATACTAAACCAATTCATTTTGGAACGTGACTTGTTTAGTGACTTCATTTGTCAGAATCAATATTTTTGGTACGTAGTTTATACCTGAAATTATAGAGTAATTATGAAGAAGAAATCTACCTTATGATAGTTGTATTAATTAGGTAATACATTGATTGACGAAACGGGGGACTTAGAGAATGATGTTTCAAACTTCTACCTTATGTACTTTGTAATGTTCAATCATTAGTTTAAAAATATTATCGATATGTAGGTTCCGATCTTATCAGATGCTTCAAAGAAGATGAAGTAAGGTAGAAAAAATAGTTCGTCATATTATCAGTGATACTTCTAAGTGTGAGTAACGCGTAATTTCGCGACCTGTAAATCATTTACATATTACATTAAACTGTATTTCGTAATCTGTGATAAAGTAATTTTTAATTTTAACTCCATCTGTGTTTGCTACCTTTACCGTTTTTCTGTCAGAAAAATTCAAAGGATCACAAACATTCTGGAACCAAAGATGAACCAGTTGAGCCAGTTCGTGAAATGCCTATTTTTAGTACTGATAAAGATCCGAAAAATGACAGTGGATGTGTCATATCATAATATGAATTTTTTACAAAATTACCTTCGGAATTTTGTTACAATTTGATTCTTTGGTTTAAAAAAATGTTATATTACAGTATGTGTTTTCTTTCCATAATTTTTAAAGGTATGACAATCAATATATGTGCTATGGTTACTAAAAATGTGATGATCATTAATTAGCTTTTTATCTTTATTTCTATTCATGATTTATTTTCTTTTTTTGTTATATGACGCGTACTCAATCATGGTGTTTTTGTTGAATATATTGTATATAAATAAATCGCCATTAGTTTGTCCTGTTAGAATATTTCTGGGCATTGATCATTTCAGCGTCATATCGATTCTACTCTTTTACATCGTACATTTAATGAATGTAATAACCCCTGAAATTTTTCAAGGTTGATTTAATCGAGAAAAAAATTGAAAATAGTAGCATTACTTAAAGCCACTACATTAATCTTTTCTCAATGATTAAAAACAGTGAGAAACAGACCATTTCAAAAAACGTCTAGTGATAGGTTTATATAAATTTTCTTGTTCAATATAATTTTTAGGAAACAAGTTTCTTTGAGAATTATCTTAAGACATTGTGTAATACAAATCGTATTTAAAACATAAAATATTTCGTAAATAACTACAGCGATACTCGATGCTTTTCGAGATTCACAAAACTAAATAAGTTTGTCTTAAAGAATACTGTTAGATTTAACCAAATTTAAGTAAAATATCTAGTCTAAAATGTGTTTTTTTCGTCACACTCCATCAAAGTAGTATCAAAAAGAAGAGCGGAACAATGTTGAACCTAACATAAATATTTACTTATGCGAATTATCACTCTTGATACGCATGCAGTAAAGGGACATTAAGTAGTTAAAAACAAGATCTGAATGATGCTGAAAGGAAGTAATGGTTATAACGATGACAGAAAGTGAATTCAAGTCAAAATAATTAACTTTTGAGGACTAAACAAGTTGCTTACGTTTGCCAACATAACACAGACATATGCATATCGCCTTTATGTAGCAATAATATATCTCAACGTCATTTTGACTTTCGACTTTCTAGACCCTAGTTATTTTTGTTCACTGACGACCATAAGTAGTTGACGCATCTCTTAACCACTTTAGTTGATCAAAGTTAACTATCGTGCTAATCTGTTTTCTACTTTTACATGGAACCATCATTACTCAAACAGTTGTTCCAACACACGTTAGCAATACTTCGAAAACGTTGCGACTCACATGTCTTCTGCTTCCAGAATGTGTTTTTCACTCATGTTAGTTATACTTATTGGATTTCTTTTCAGCAGAAAAATAAGCATTCAGCCAGCGTCACGGATGACACGAGTTCAATAAACCTAGACGGACTTTTCATACTTGTGCTGAATTATTGTAAGTCACTAATTTAAGACTTTCGAAAGTCAGAGACACAGTCAACGTACTCAACTACTTTACTTCTGACTGTCATACTGGTTGTCAGTGCAACAGTTTGCATTTGATGGCAGTCAGCGTATCTCATAGTCTCAGAAGGGATACTGAACTATTGTTACTACAAAGGATATCGTCTTCCACAACTCTACGCCTTTTAAGGAGAGATGGATGGCGGCGAGCAGTGGAATCTGGGAGGCGTGCTTCGTCTGATTTGGGACTTGTCAGTTGGGTGAACCTGCATCCTAGTGTTATTTCCACCCCAGAACTTAAAGCCAGTACTTTCGCTTTAAACCCCGTCGCGTTATCCACTTAGCTACTTAGTCCAGATGGCTACTGGCTTGTGCAACGAGATGAATTTTAACCCAAACAGCAATATACATGAGTCAGGGTCACTCTACGCCTTGTTTTCTTCATGCAACTTCATCATTTTCAACTAGCTTTTTCTGTGATTGAACACTCTCATAACATTTCTGCAAGGCATTAATTTTCCATAATACTTCTCAGTATCTACACACACTATTGTCATGTTGCGCAATTTCTATTTATTATGTCCTCAGTACGTCGAAAAATTAAAAATACTGGGTTCAGTAATTTATATATCAGATATACTAGATAAAGATATACAGTCACTGCTGTCAGATGTCATTTCAGGTGAATGTATATAATCCGTATTTTGGTAGTATTTGGATTCATCTTTCAATTGAAACTTGCTTGTCTTCCGTGTTCTATGATCTGCGTAATCTTCATTATATATTTTTTGTTCTCTAAATCATTGAAATGGAAATGAATGGTGTTAGCTCACGAACTGATTGAATTCTCTATGCATTATCCAAATTGATGACATTATGAACTTTTATCTAGTTTCTGTTGATTACGTAATAACCGCTACGACATGTTCCCGTTTTTTATTCAAAAATTTGTTTGACCTAAAAAACCTGTCACTTACTTTCTTAAAGTCGTATGACTCTTCAAATAATAGACAGCATTTATAGACACGATTCTGCTTTCATGACGTAACCCTCAACATTTTCATGTTAAGCAAGCAGTTGGTTTTTGTAAATATGATATGTTTGAAAAATGCACTACAATTTCGTATACGAAAGTTTTATTATCCTTCCTGAGTATTTTCGTGAAAACCGCTATCTGCAGTATCGAGTCATTATGTGTCTACAACTCCCCAAACTATACCGGTGTATTAACAGTTCGAATTTCGAAATATCTTCAGAAACTCAACCAAAAGCTACATGGTTCCACATTCTTCTAGGTTTCAATCTTCAGGTTTTCTATCAAACCTTTATTCAAAAGAGTTAAACAATGACATTTGAATATTTCTGGACTTAGCCCGTTCCGTACCCTATTTTAAATACTCCATGTTTATTGAGGCGAATATAAGCTATAAGAAACTTCAGATGTTATTCAAAGTATCACACCAACATTCTTCGTGGATTACCCGTTAGAAATCTACCTTATAGAGTTCAGAAAATAAAATTTTCGGTGGTTGTGAGCTTTATGATTGATCCAGTATCATTTTCTCCACAAGTTAAAATAACTCATCGTACCTGTATATATAAAGAATCACTTAAAAATCAAATATCAAACTGGATGGTCTGAAAACACCTGCTTTTTTGTGTTTATCTCTTACCTTTCTTAAACTACCAATAAATTGTAAACATACCGTGAATTATTTATTAACCTTGGTACAGACCGGATATTAGGTTTTCTCGCAGCAATCGAAAGAGGTGTTCGAAACTTCATGTGAATAGAGAGTTCTGATCCTGTACTAGACAACTTTAGAAAAGTTCAAGAAGACAAACTGTCAATAGTACCATGTACTTATTAAGTCCATGTGCTGGCTGTTTCTTATTTTGTGTTGGGACTCCATTACTGCGCAGTATATTTCCACACAACATGAATTCGTCTCGATTGCCTGAAAGTTTCACTTAGTTGCTACAGAAACACTAACTGCTTTCTTGTAAAGACTTGAGTTTATTCCTTAGAGTCACAACAGCGTGTTCTAAATCGTTGCGAGATGACGCAGGTAAACGATCAAAGTTGCTTGATTCATCAGCCATAGAATTTTCAACTTTCGAAAAGATCCTGAAGGCTTGTCTTTTAAATGGTTCATACCTATCTAAACGTTCAGTCATGGAAAGAGGAAACTCTTTCACTTTTTCCGAAAACGCATTTAAATACTAAACGGTTTACCATAAGACAGTACACATACATTTTGTTTAGCGATAATAATGTTCTTTCCACAAGATAGATTTTTTACTGATTCTGAAGTAGTTTTAAGTGAGTTGCCGTTTAGGTTCGCAAATGCAATTATTTTTTCTGACATACTTATCTGAAAATGGCATAACAATTTTTTGTGAACATACCAAGCCTACCTTGTTCATTAAGTAATCCGTTGTCTCGCTTATGTCGCTTAGTAAATTGCTGATGATTACGTCTGCAAATGACAAGAAGATTTTACCTTAATTTTAATTCATCATTATGTTCATCGTCTTTGTCTATAATCAAGCTTGTGTCTTCACGATCAGAGTGTTTCCAGATATTACGAAGCGAAGTCCAGAATGATGAGTTCTTGAGAAATCGTTCTGTTCATTTTAGAGCATAAAGCTTACATATTCTGAATGACTTTGACTCGACTGGTCTTCCAATTCATCTTTACATTGATGGATGTTGCTATTATTTTGAACACTAAAACTTATATCTTGTGAACTCTGATTGTTTTGAATGCCATCTAAATTAGAACTGATACAGCAGTAGCTTGCGTTAAACGTAAAATTACTCGAATAACTTGCGTTGGATACCGATTCGCGGAATCTTAAAAGACATTTCCTTTGGTTGATTTTACGACTCACTTAATTATATCCAGATAGTGTAGAAAAACAATATTGGGACAAAAATTCGTAATGTCGAAGTCTAGAAATGAAGTTCCTTTCAAAGTGGATCATCTAGTTATCAAAAGCACGATAATAAAGTGAGAAAACAACATTTGGTTAGTCAGAGAATAAATTTTCCGTTCTTTGAAATCACTGCCTAGGTTTTATGATAGGATTCGCATTATTGAGAAAATTTGGCTGTTGCTATATACCTTCTAAAGCTGACAGCCTTAAATAGTTACTTGTTAACGGCAGATGTGATCGTGGAGTAACAGTTGGAAAGTGCACTCTCAGGAGCTATGAAACTAAAGCAAGCGCGCGACCTCGTCTTAGAAGTCTTCGTATGAAAAGGAGCTCCGTGGTTTTATCCCTTTTTTTCAGTTTAAGATATCGAGGGTATTTTGGTCCAGGCTCCCTCGTCTTTTGTTCTAAATAAATGTGCTTTTAGTAACAATCAACTGTAGTTTATTGTGATGTTGAAAAAATACTCTGTCGCGTGTCCACCTTACTTTATTCCATTAGTGTTGATGCGTAAGACAATAAATAAATACGATAGACAGTTATTCAATAGCAACAACAATATGCAAGACGCTAGACAGAGTACTTGACATTGCCATTGTAGCTGTAAATGAATCCCCAAAGTCAATAACCCTGTAAGGCTTCGACATTTGAAGCTGACCATATTAGTTTTAATGGACTCAACTGACTGAAGGCACTCGGTTACGCATCCGCACTAGGTCATGAGTGTGAAGGCTGTGCTCAACTCCTGCAGCCGCTAGACAGTTTAGATTAGTCGATATATTGATAAACTATCAAATATGTCTTCGAACCTCCTCTCTTCTGACTTTTGATTTCATTGCTTAGGCATGACGAAAGTGTTGTATATCAACAAATACCTGTAGAATCTTCACCATCTCCAAACAAAATGAGTGTTCAGTAGCTGGAGCGTTCAGTTCTAACGCGAACGACTAAAGCTCACACTTTGGATACTGCAGGTACACCGAAAAAGTACCAGTATGTTTATTTCGCTTCTGTTATCAAGGCAATGGAAGGCTAACGATTGATTCTTTGTGAACACAAAAGTCACGTCTGAGACCTTTATTTGCTTTGGCTTCGCTACTCTTGATGGGAATGAGTTGGACATTTTATTGATCATTTTGAAGGCATTTACGTTGGTGTTACGTACCTTTCTGACGTGTGATGCTTTATTATGCTTCAAGGGTTATATTGTTCACAAAAGCAAAAGTTCCAGATAATTTGCGCAATAAAACTGATGGTAACTTGACTTTCAAACATTCTGACATATAAGCGAAAGCATGTACATGCAGTTCATTATGTATAAATTACGTTTCTGTGTTAGTGTTGTCAATTTGTTTGAGGGACATATGTATCCTTTTTTTCTTGATCATGTTCAGTTTATTTGGTTAATGTCTTATGCTTTACTTGTGATAGTATTGGGTGAGGAAGACATGTGAATTTCGGTTTTCAGCATTATAATTGACTATAGTTAACCATGTACCAGTGATATATATTATGTGTTAAAAATGCAGTACATAACTTTTCTTATATAAATATATTCATTAATTGTATTCTTCGAAAATTTCCCATTAAGTCACCCTGTAACAATATCTTGACATGTGTTCTTACGTTCTCCTCGCTTTTGTGTGCTTGTCAGGTAGGGGTATAAACCTATAATTCTAGGTTGCGTTTAAAGTTACACAAGCGTTCTGCCCGGTCAAACATAAAAATTTTGTTTCCGCAGACGAACTGATATAAAAAATTCACAGAACTTCACAATCCACTAGCCAAGTTGTTGTGTACACCAAGGCAAAATCGGACATACAAGCCAGAATTCGTGTGAACAAATAACTACATGTGCCATTGTTGGAGAGAAAAACTATGCATTGTAACAAAAATAGAATGAAGTGAATATGGTAACAAATAGAAATCTGTTGAATTGTCTGTTTACAGTACCCGACCGTTGTATGATGTATATTACCGCTATAGAAAGTTTAAGAAGCAAAGGACAGGATCTAACTAAGAACTCCTAGTCCAATTTCCAGAAAGACGAAGATTTACCAAGCATTGGGTTAGATTCTTAAACGTTTCATGTGATCAAACGGTGGGTTTGAAAGAAAATTATGACTGACCAGCAACTACAGTACTGAATATGAATGAGGACAGTTGTAACACTTAATAGTTTCTTACCCAAATAAAGCCTCAACAATACCGATACCTAAACGTGGAAACTTGACCGTCCAATATAGGTTATGTAAGCTCCTCACAACTAGTTGTGACACGCTTCGGTAACAGAAATGTTGCCAGGAATGTGAGAGGTCATCGATTAAAAGACCGTTGACGCGAGCCTGTTTAGACAGCCCCTTTTTGGGTTCCAAACAGGTGCGGATGGTTCGTATTTTACTGTATTATAACGCCTACGACAAGCTGGATAAATGTGCCGATCGGATACCGATTATCCTGAAAGCCTCGAAGATGGAGGTTTTTAGTGACAAAGAAAAGCCCCAAATGATATTGGATGAAATTATAGATTGGTGTTATACTCCCACCTGTTCATAATAATCACAAACGCTCACAAACACCTCGAAGGACTTCGTCACCAAAATGAGCTGTCTCTAGACCACGAAAGGCAGATAACCCTGATTGATGTTGTTACTCCAATAAGTGTAGTACGTCTCTTAGATACTCCAAAAAGAACCCGTAACTTACCGATTTAGACATTGTCGGACAGGAAGACCCTCCCAGGAAACTTCCCGATCGGTACGCGTTATCACAATCCGTAGCTGGGTGGCGTGGCCGTCTGTTATAAATCACTGATGTGATGACAAATTTTCACTATTTCGTCGGCCATACGGGCTGAACATGTTTTTTCTAATACCTTGTTGCATACGCTACTACAATATCCCCTTGAGAATAAGTATTTGAAAATACATCTAGGTGAAACGAAAATCTAAAAAAATTCAGCCTCAGAATAAAATTAATAATCTCAGGTGAGGTTTATCAAGGGAGTGAAAGCGTAAAAAATCTACTACATCAACAATAAATAATAATAACGGTGTGCATTAAAATGAAAAGCGTCAAGCAGTGTGATATTCATGCTTATGGATTGATGAGCTTCCTTCCCTATCGACTATCTGTGAGCGGTGTGTGGTAATGCGAACAACACTGCCACTGGTTTGCGTTAAAAATAAATAAAATGGGAATGAACAATTTTCCTATTACCAACTCATGAGTCTCACTATTTCCCCAGCATTTTTCTTACTACATATGTTTTCGGTTCAATATTCTGGTTCCCGTGCAAAGGAATTGTAGTGCCTTCAAGAGACTGCTTTACAGGATAACCGAAACATAGATTATGGATGACTTTAATACTTTTTCAGAAAAGAGAATGCTTCGGAGCTTTCTTCCATGGTCTCAATGAGTCCTCATGTGATATGATCTATAAGTCTAGATTTAAAAAGCTGTTGATGATTGGAGCTTCTTTATAAAGTTCTTAGTTTACTATTCTTAATAATTTCTGACGTGGTATTTACATAGATTACTAAGCGTCTGAAGAAATTAAGGGAATTATCAATCCAGCATCTTGTAATCGGTTTTTCAAGATTGAAGATCGTTTGGTATGTTATTTTATTTTGGCCAGCTTTCAGTGTTATTTTAATGAATAAATTATCATCAAATCTCAGGCTTAATTACTTATGTGTGAATGAAGCTAATAAATCACCATTTAAAAGAATGATACACGTCATACTTCTCAGCACTTTTAACAAAAGATTTTAAATTTATTCATGATTCACGACATCTAACACTTCATGTCAACCCACAAGACTCCCGAAAACAATATATCAAACCTAGGTAATCATGGTCGACACTATTGGAAACAATAGGAATATCACCTTTAGTGTATCACTTAACTTTATTCACCCTAGATTACTGAATAAAATCGTGCTCTCTTTGATTTTTAGTTGTCGTTTTAACTAAAATCAAACTGGCGTATTCGGTATCGGACCTAATTGTTAGAGGCTGTTCGGTGTTAGTTACTAATCGTAGTTAGCCAGTTCTATAAATAAACATACAATTCCGATAATGACAGATTTCAAACAGTTCATGATAACTGCCTTTCATTTTTCTACAGTGTGATTGTAATCAACGCCAATAATAATCCCTAAAAAGCCAGATGAGTAAACTCAAACTTCTATGTCTTCACAGAAATATGTGTTCATAGAATTTTAAACTGTAGACACAGGTGCGAAACTTTCGTATACCTGCTAAACATTCTAGTTTACATCAATAACGATTGAACAGACACATGAAAACCACGGAAGTGAAAATGGCAAGTGTAGGCTTATTGAATTCAAACTTTAATGACCCCTCAGAAATTGCGGAAGTGCGATGCCGTGGTGCGATTTGGCTAAAATGATAAACTGTGAAACTTTAGCTATAGTGCTGACAGTAGATAAATTCTCAAGACATTGAAAAAGCCTTTCAAGAAGATAAACAAGGGTTGACAAGCGGCCAACTTGAGCACTGATACAAGTCTGAAATAGGCAATACGAAGTACCAAGTAAACACAAACACATTTTTGACTGCCCAAGAAGTCTAAGCTGGCAGATGATGAATAAAGCCAGATACGTTCAGAAGCGGGAATTTCACAAGAGTAGTGAAATATAAGCGACACAGGAAAAATTATTTACCACAGTGTTTCTCTGAACTGTCCAATGTGCAATATTCTGGTCACGAATGAACCTGTTTTCAAGTCACAGATAAGTTATTGACTTTCAACCACATGATCCTTGAAGCCGAGAGCACGTTAACTGTAAATATTTACACCCAACATTTAACACTTAGAGAAGGTCAGAAATGGTGAGCACAGAGGACTTAATCGATATGGAATGGCTGTGCTATGCAGGTGTGGTCAGCACTAAGTAAGCACTTGCTATTCATGTTAGATATGTTATCATCTCCTCAGTCCATATGTATTCTCCAGAGGACCCTAGCAACAGCCACTTACTGTTACGATAGGAGGAGAACGTATAAATAATGATGTGGCTTCCTGGAAAGATTTAGTAAACCACCTGGTTACATTATGTTAAATCCATAATTATGAAGTAGTTCTATTGTTAATGCAGCATAGATATGTGTACTAATACTGACCTAGACAGAAACATTACTAGCAAATCGGTAGATATTTACGGTACTTAGTACGAAATATAATTGTGTATACATTTTGAGATACGATATATATATATATATATATATATATATATATATATATATATATAT